TTGCTCTTGATATAATTTGTTGCTTGTACATTGGTTATTCAAGTGATATATTTTTCTTCTTAACTGCTGCAGAGACTAAATGTTTGAATGTTTGTGATTGCTGTAATATGATTTCTGTTTATGTTTTGCAATGTTTCATTTTTGTATGTCTTTTGTGTCATTTGGCAATTGAATGTTTTGCCCTATGTTGGAAACCGCTCTCAGTCCTCTTGGGGAGATAGGCTGGTATATAAATAAAGTTATTATTATTATTATTATTATTATTATTATTATTATTAAATGCATTTTAGAATAGATAAAACCTAATTTAAAAATATATTATTGAATATAGTTAGTATTTATTTATTTTATTTATTTACTGGTTTTTTTTTTACCCTGCTCTATCTCAACCCCAAAGGGGACTCAGTTTGACTGAGATATGTCAGAATTTTATCAAACATGATGAATAATTGATACAGGCCAAAGGAACTGCTATTGTCCTAGGTAAGAACTGCAATGACATAGCATGGCGTAGTGCAGTGGTTCCCAACCTTTAGTCCTCCAAGTGTTTTGGACTTCAGTTCCCACAATTCTTAACAGCTAGCAAGATGGCTGGGATTTCTGAGAGTTGAAGTCCAAAACACCTGAAGGACCAAAAGTTGGGAACCACTGGCGTAGTGGATAAGACACCAGAAAAACAACTACAGAAACCAGCTGGATTGGCTCCCCCAAAACTCAGCCTTATAGGAAAACTATAGCAAAGCTCATCTGAGTGATGAATCAATCTTACCAAGAAAATCTTTCATAAGTTGGAACTGACTTGGTTGCACACAACAAGAAGATTTTTAGCATAATGCTTTATGTGTCTCTTCAGATGTTGGCTCTCCATCATCTTAAATAGGAATTAGTTCCAAGAAAATCGGTTTAAATTGATGCCCTCTAAAGTACAGGTGGAAAATGTGTAGTCCTACAAATGTTGTTCAATTACAACTTCTAGCCTTACTCACAACTGACAACATAAATAATAACAACAACAACAACAACAACAACAACAACAACAACTTTATTTTTATACCCCGCCTCCATCTCTCTGAAAGTTAGGTATTTAAGGAGATGCAGTTCAGAAACGTGTTGTCGAAGGCTTTCATGGCTGAAATCACTGGGTTGCTGTGCATTTTCTAGGCTGTATGGCCAAGTTTCAGAAGCATTCTCTCCTGACGTTTCCCCCACATCCTCAGAGGTTGTGAGGTCTGTTGGAAACTAGGCAAGTGGGGTTTATATATCTGTGGAATGTCCAGGGTGGGAGAAAGAACTCCTGTCTATTCAAGCCAAGTGGGAATGTTGCAATTGGCCACCTTGATTAGCATTGAATAACCTTGAAGCTTCAAAGCTTGGCTGCTTCTTGCCTGGGGAATCCTTTGTTGGGAGATGATTATCTGGCCCTGATTGTTTCTTGTCTGGAATTCTCCTGTTTTCTGAGTGTTGTTCTTTCTTTACTGTCCTGATTTTAGAGTTTTTAAAATACTGGTAGCCAGATTTTGTTCATTTTCATGGATTCCTCCTTTCTGTTGAAATTGTCCACAACCTTGTGGATTTCAATGGCTTCTCTGTGTAGTCAGACATGGTGTTTGTTGGAGTGGTTCAACATTTCTGTGTTCTCAAATAATATGTTGTATCCAAATTGGTTCATCAGGTGCTCTGCAATGGCTGATTTCTCTGGTTGAATTAGTCTGCAGTGCCTTTCATGTTCCTTGATTCGTGTTTGGGCAAAGCTGCATTTGGTGGTCCCTATGTAGACTTGTCCACAACTGCATGGTATATGGGAGACTCCTGTAGAGGTGAGATAATCCCTTTTGTTCTTTGCTGAACGTAGCATTTGTTGGATTTTCTTTGTGGGTCTGTAGATAGTTTGTATGTTGTTTTTCTTCTTCAACTTCTCTATGCAGCCTGTAGTTCCTTGATTTATGCCTAGTTTCCAACTAGACTTCACAACCTCTGAGGATGCCTGCCATAGATGTGGGTCAAATGTCAGGAGAGAATGCTTCTGGAACATGGCCATACAGCCCGTAAAACTCCCAGCAACCCATTTCAGAAACATCTGGAAAACTACACAATACATAGTTCCACCGCAGTGCCAGGTTTAAATCCTTTATGATTATACAAAAGCAGTAGAACAAATATATGAACGTAAATGGACCCATGTGTATTTAGACCAAATGCCTATCTAATCCAGCATCATTTCCCCACAGTAACAACCAGATATCACAAAGGGATGGAAAATAATACAAAACAGCACCATCTTTGTCATACAAATGATATTCAGATGTCTAGTGCCTCTGATACAAAAAAGGCAGAACAACTCAGGCTGCTTTTTACCAACTCAAACCACTGATCATTTCATTGCCTCTTTGATAAGAAAATTAGTATTCTTCTTGGCATTATGGGAAGAGAAATTGTGAAATTGCGGTACTTATGTTTATTTGTTTTAGTCTCTTCTAAATCCATCATCGCCACCACCATCATCTATACGGCATATTCCCCACAAAACCTGGACGGATAATAGCTTAGAGATTAAAATAAGTACAGTCGAAATGCGCAGAGGATAAACAGTATCAGCAAGCTATTAAAATATGAATAATACTTTAAAACTTGAAATTCAAACAGTTTGAAACAGTGCAAACAAACGCCCCTTTCTTAAAATCTTGAGTTCTAAAAAGCTACTCAAAACGTGACTAAGGAACTCATTATAAGCATGAAAGGCAATGAGTGAAGAATGAACATTTGGCTACAGATGGCTGAATAAATTACTGGAGTGAAAAATAAACCTTTCATCGAGGCAGAAAATGCCATCGCCCTTTTCGCAAGTGTCATTGAGCATACCTGTGATATTAGCTTCATGACTCAACAGCCTTCAGCATTATTAAATTACCGAAATGACAAAAGGGGGTCTTCCTCCCAGATTGGCTTTATGGAAATGGAAAGACCAAAGATAGACCTTTGTCTCTAAATAAATACTTTAAAAATGAGTGTTAAAATCATGGCTTTGGAGTCTTAGCTTTTCTAGGTTGCCTAGGAGAAAGGGCCTACTGAAATCTGTATCTTGGAATTATTGTTTCCATTTGATGTTTGATGTGCTTTTTATTTAATTCTAGTTTGTTAAGTTATAATTCGTATTTATATGTTGTATACATTTTGTTAGTATGGATATATTCTTGTTGTACTCGGGCATTGAATGTTTGCCTTTTATGTTTGGAATCTGCCCGGAGTCCCTTTGGGGAGATAGAGCGGAATATAAATAAAGTTTGTTTATTTATTTATTTATTTATTTATTATTGATATTCAGTGAAAAGAAAATATCATGGTTTTTGGAGTCTTAACTTGGTCCCGATTAGAATAGGCTCACTGAATCAATGAGAATCTGATGAATCAAACCTTACGTCAGTTCAGTTATTTATTTAACATGTCAGGAGCGAACCAAACCAGTTGTATTGCATTAAAAACCAGACAAGCAAACAAACAAAACACAAAATTTGCAGACTTGGTATTCTATTAAATGTCCTTTGACCAGTACTCCAGTTCAGTTGATTCAATGGGATTTTCACTTGGGATTAACAATTCAATTTGGACCAATTATTCTATTTGTAAAAATATATATGGGAAATATTTCTGTATTTTACCTTGTGGTTGCATCATTTACAATGTCAAACATTAGAAGATTTTAAATATGTACTTGCAGCTTGTTTTGAGAGCTTAGCCCTTCCCCATACAAAGGAGCCAGGATGCAAGTAACTACTAAAGTTTTCAGATGCAAAAATGAAGAGATATTTTCTCTCTTTTTATCAAGGTGTGATCTGAACAAGGACTTCCTATTCTGTCACTTGGTTCCAGAGATACTAGTATGTAGATAAGCTGGGAAAATTCAACTGAGGGCCCTTCTGCACAGCCATATAACCCAGAATATCAAGACAGAAAATACCACAATATCTGCTTTGAACTGGGGGCCCTTCCACACAGTCCTATATCCCAGAATATCAAGGCAGAAAATCCCACATTGTCAGATAACCTAGTTCAAAGCAGATATTAAAAACAAATTTGGCATCTTTAGGGGGGGAAAAAGTCTTCAGAATGAAATTTATAGGAAAGGAACAGAAAACATAACATTAGAGTTGACTACAAACAACTCATTTAGAAATTTTGCCTGAAATGATATACAGCCTAGTACTATACCTTTCTGGATGAATAAAAACCATTTAAGTTTCAAATCCAAAGTATTATAAAACCTTGAAGGAGAAGCAAGCTGAAATAATTAGTGCTTTAAAACTCTTTAAATAGTTTTGTATGGCTTCGGCAGTAAGATTTTATAAAGGTGGAACAATAACGGGAAATTACTATAGGCCAGACATCAATGCCATTCAATAATGGAGAGTAAGCAAGAGCTAGTATTTTCATTTTGTGATGTGACCATGAAAATGTATTGTTAAGTGGTAGGTAAGAATAAAGGCTGGGTAGATAATAATTTGGCAAGCTTTTCAAAACATTTGCTTTCAAATTTCTTTTAAAAATTAAAAATTCAGCATAAATAAATATGTCATTGCTCTGAAGGTTTGTACTCGGAGACAGACCTAAAGCATGATGCAAAGTCTGAAATAGTGGGCATTAAACTCCTGGCTTACTTTCTCTGTTTCCTTTCCGACCTACCGCCTGTTATTCCCCAGGGCAGTGTTAAATGAAGATAAGAAAGGTTCAATTGGTTTTGTTACAAGGCTGATAATCTCCCCCCTCCTTCCTTCATTGATTCACTGTTGCCTGTTAGTTGGCTTAAATGGGTTTTAGCCAAAGGTTGGCAATTATCATAAAGGAGAAGGTAACACTCCGGGGAGTTCATTTTCCTTGTTGATGCTTGCATTCCTTTGAATTCCTCACACCCCAGCCCCGTTTCCCACTTTCTCACTTGTCAACCTACCCACCCCCTTTGTCATAAAAAGGGTCTCTCTAGACCCAAACCCGCAGACTTGGCTTGCATGTGGCCCACAGGAAAATTATCTGCTGCTGCTGCTTCCCCATCTCTCAAGCTTTCCACCCAAACTCCAGGACACGTCGGAGATTCATGGATGGGAACATGGACCCTGAGAACTCTTCTTTCTTTACTTCGTGGGACTGGAAGAATGCTTCAGCTGGGGCAGGAGCAGGGACTTTGGAGCTCAGCCAGAACTCATCCCCTCTGAGCATGTCTCCATCCCCTTCCTTTGAATCGTACTCCTCTTCTCCATATCCACTCATGATGGAGTTGCCCTGTGCCAACAGCCACAGCAGTAGTGCCACCAGCAGCAGGACTGAAAGTGTCCTCAGCAACAACAGCAACAACAACTTAAGGGGTAACTACCCCTTGATGGAGTTCCCTTACATGTACCTTCCAGGTCCTGGACAGGGCATCAAAGGCCAGAAAGGCTCCACGGTCAGGATGTCGGTCCAACGCAGGAGGAAGGCCAGCGAAAGGGAGAAGCTGAGGATGAGGACCCTGGCAGAGGCTCTGCACACTCTCCGCAACTATTTGCCTCCCGTCTACAGCCAAAGAGGCCAGCCTCTCACCAAGATACAGACTCTGAAATACACTATCAAGTACATCAGTGAGCTCACGGACATGGTGAACAATGTCAAGCAAGGTCAGATGCCTTGAAGACCTTTTCACATTTTCTCAGTCTGAAAAAGAACAAATCCTTCCCCCTTTTCCTGGATTTCTCAATTTTCCCTCTTTTTTTTTTTTACAAGTTGACATTTCCATTGGAACTATTCAATAGAACAATTGTGTTGTACTGACTATTCTGCAGGAATGTCCACAACTGTATGGTGAGAGATCAGGCACGGCTGTTGTTGCTTGTTTCTTGGGCTGCAACAAAGAAGGAACCCATGGGATCTGGATTGGAAATCATTATGACAATATTGGTCCTGATGGGACATATTGTTCATGACTCTCTCTCCAATCATAGGTGACCACATTTGATCTGTTTTATAATGGTGCGCTATCCCCAAATCGCTGTGTATATGTATATATTTTAATTATGTCTATGGGTTGATAGGCACTTTATATGAGCAGAAGGAAAATATGTGTGCTTAGCTGAAGACTTGCTGCTTAATGAATACTCCACAATAACTGAGGGTGGGTAGCTTTGAAATAAAACGTTGTGTCCAAGAATTATTGTATTAGATCCCTGATTTAAGAGATTGGATTCATGATTCTGGTTAATCGTTTTTCTAACTGTTCTTAGTACATATCTTTAGAAAGTATTCATTGTCAAATGTCATGAAATCAGCTCAGACTAGTTATTTCCATAATATGAAGTGAATTGATCATGCTGACTTAACTCTGGCCCCTTCCACACAGCTGAATACAATACCACATTATCTGCTTTGAAGTGGGATATATGGCAGTGTGGACTCAGATAGCCCAGTTCAAAGCAGATATTGTGGGATTTTCTGCCTTGATGTTCTGGGTTATATGGAAGGGCCCTCTGTAAGCCCTTATTGCTTTGTAAATGCAAAATTGCTTATTATTATTTATTATTATTAGGGGGGGAAATCAATTGATACAGTTGCATAACTTAGGTATAGTAACCAGATCCAGAAAGAAACTAATTTAGAGGGTTTGGGGTGTGTGTGGAAGGTTGTTTCTTGTATAGTCTTTGATTTTTAAGCAGATAAAAGAGCGAAAGTTGGAAAACATTTTTTTGGGGACAAAAACTTCCACAATCCCCAGACAGCATAGCCACTGGCTGGGATTATGGTCCAAAATAGTAACTTTTTCCAAGTGCTTTATAAAAGTCCCATGCAAAGGATAGGTAAACAGGAATCATTAGACTGTTATGAGAATATACAGAATTTCTTTTGGTAAAGGTAACTGTGACAATGTTATAATTTACACACATATACTGTGTGTGTGTGTGTGTGTGTGTCCCATGCAACTAGGGCCCTTTCCACACAGCTGAATAAAATCTCACATTATCTGCTTTGAACAATAATATATGGCAGTGTGGACTCAGATAACCCAGTTCAAAGCAGATATTGTGGGATTTTCTGCCTTGATATTCTGAGTTATATGACTGTGTGGAAGGGCCCTGAGTAATCAAGGCATGATTCTGCAAAAATGACACTTTGTCCCACTGACAGCTATTGCATGGGATGTTATCAATCACTTAATGAAGTTTACTTCAGGGAGAATTTATTACAAGTTATTGTGCCCTGATTGTACCCCTCAAATAAGTTATACATTTCCTGAGTTAGTAGATGAGAGCCTTTCCACACAGTCCTATATCCCAGAATATCAAGGCAGGAAATCCCACAATATCTGGATGAACTGAATCCGCACTCAGATATTGTGGGATTTTCTGCCTTGATATTCTGGGATATAGGGCTGTGTAGAAGGGCCCTGAGATCTGCCAAGTCATGGCAAAATACATGCTCCAAAATGTGTTTGGGTATGCAGTGTGCTTGTAGATCATCAGATATGAACATCATGCTTTTTGTGTATTTCAGTGATGTACAACTCATATGCAGTAAACATGGATGCCAAAGGCCTATGCATATCTTACACAAAATGACTTTGTGAGTTGGAAATGTGTCCTATTTGAAGCATTCCCATGTTTTGGCTGGCTCTTGTTGTTACATTATTAGCATGTAAGATGTGTACCTCTAACATCTGTTGTTTATAATACCTGAAACCTCAAATCTAACCCCTGAGCGCAATCCAGATCTGTTAAATGCTAATAGTTGCTCTGCTGTTGGCTGCAATTAGCTCAGTGAACAACAAGCAGAAGATTAATGACCAAGAGATCCCAAATGTCTATCAAAGCACAATATTGTTGTGCCAAAGGTCCTAGGAAGAGCCTATAAAATTGCTTTGTGAGTGCCTTTATCAACGGGGTGTCTAAAAGTTGTCATCCTCCCCAAATTCTGGTTCTAAGGTGAAACTCAAGACCAGTGTAGTCCTCCAAATTGCACCATATTTCTTAAATTTGTGTAATTTCCAAAAGGATTAACAGGCCACCACCACTGTACTCCTGAGTTGTACTGTGTGTAAAAATCTGAGGCTGGGAGCCCTTCCACACAGCCCTATAACCCAGAATATCAAGGCAGGAAATCCCACATTATCCGAGTATGGACTCAAATAACCGGTTCAAAGCAGATATTGTGGGATTTTCTGCCTTAATATTCTGGGATATAGGGCTGTGTGGAAGAGCCCAAGATCTACACTATATCCCAGGATCTGATCTCAGATGATCTGCTTATCCCAGATTATCTGGCAGTGTAGACTCATATAATCCAGTCCAAAGCAGATAATCTGAGTTCAGATTTTGTGATATAGGGCAGTGTAGATCCAGCCTGGCTTGTGAGATTCAGTGCTTCCCTAGTAAGTATTTTGAAAGCTCATTTGGCTGCGTTTAACGTGTAATGAACTCAAGCAGATGTTATCAGATTTAAATACGCCACTAATTCTTCTTGTGACACTGTTTGTTTTTTAATATTCTATTTGATTTTCCTCTAAGATGAGCTCTGGTGATACGCTGCAGAATATTAATATTTCGAATAAATGCCTATGTACTTACAGATATAAACATCTCCAGTCATTTTAATAATTTGGTGGGGATTCAAAATACTACGTGCCCTTGGCATCTACTGGGCGTTAGTTCAAGGACACCCCACAGATGCCAAAATTCATGGATGCTCTAGTACAACAATATAATAAAATGCCATCTCTTATATAAAATGGAAACATCAAGGCTTGCTTTCTGGATTTTTTTAAAAATGGGAGATATATTTTCAAGCCATGGATGGTTGAATTCATGGATAGATGCTCTGCGGAGACAGAGGGCTGGCTGTAATTTTACAAAACAAATAAACCGCTAGTCGTGTGTACTGCAAAAGATTGAGAAAGAAATATGTTCAGCTGTACATGTCCTTTGGATGTAATAATAAGAGTTTGGCAATGTCCTTTTGAAAAGAAAGTAAAGAAAACCAGCATGGGGTTCTGATTCAACTCTGGAGACCAGGGTCCAAATCCCTATTCAGCTGTGGGTCCTTCTCTGTGTAGTCTGGCATAGTGGTTGTTAGAGTGGTCCAGCATTTCTGTGTTCTCAAATGGACATTCCACAGATATATAAACCCCTCTTGTCTAGTTTCCAACAAACCTCACAACCTCCAAGGATACCCAGAGGCAGCCCTAGGTAATTTTCAATGGTAAGCAAACAGTATTTTGCCCCCCCCCCCCCAACCAATCACTGATAAATATTTTCTGTTCGTTGTGGGAGTTCTGTGTGCCATATTTGGTTCAATTCCATCATTGGTGGAGTTCAGGAAGCTCTTTGATTGTAGGTAAACTCTACATCCCAGTAACTACAACTCGCATATGTCAAGGTCTATTTTCCCCCAAGAGCGCCTCAAGAGCGCCCCTAGGCAAAATCAACTATACTGCAAATGCTTACTTTGCGTAATGGGTTGAGCCGCCCCTGAAGATACCTTCCATAGATGTGGGTGAAATGTCAGGAGAGAGTGCTTTGGAAAACTCACAGCAACCCAGTGATTCTGGCCATGAAAGCCTTCGACAACACATTGAGTTATCTGAGTCCATACTGCCATATAATTGACTTCAATGTGGACTTTATACAGCTGCATGGAAGGGGCCTTAGAGTGAACAAAAATGTTCAAAACATGAAATCAATTGCTTCCCCCCCCTCACCAGCACACTCCCCCCAAAGAACAAGCTTTATTTATTTCTCCCTAGGAAATGACTGAAGTCTTAGTTGGCTGTAACTTTCAGAGAAATAGAGTCTCATACCACTTTGTACTGCATAGTGAAAGAAAATATTTGCACTGCCAATTTTGCACGAAATTGATTTCACACGACACTCTTCTGCTCTCCAATAGCTAACAATAACTACCATCACAACAGCATTTCTGAAAAATGAGAAAGTGAGGGATCATGCGTTGCAGTAGTGTCAACAGAAATGGCAGAGAATTGAATAACCCAGCATCACCTTTTCCTTGCTACACAGCACATTATGTGTTTTGCTATGTGCTGTGCATTTAATACCAGAGTGGAAATGTAGATCCCCTTCTAAGATAGTAAGGGATTATTATAAGGAAGAAACACATTTCTTTGATTTTCATCATGTTTACATTTAAAGAAGCATAGTATGACCAACAAGCTGAGGAATTGTTTGCTTTTCTCTCTGTCAATATATGGATCTGTCCTTTTAAGGATTTATTTTTGTTTATTTACCTGCTGCTGCTCCTCCACCACTACTTACTCCTTATGATTTCACTTCTAAATATGTATATCTCCTTGAAAGGAGCATCTTTTAATGTAAAGAAGTAATTTGCTTCTCCTTTTATTGAATCCCCCACCCCAGTTTTTAATAAATATTGGTTCTTGTGATGAACCCAAAAATAAACATTCAAATAATACTTTTAAGAGTTTGGTTGTTTGTTTGTTTTTCATGTCAGGAGTGACTTGAGACACTGCAAGTCCCTTCTGGTCTGAGAGAATTGGCCGTCTGCAAGGACATTGCCCAGGGGATGCCAAGATGTTTTACCATCCTTGTGAGAGGTTTCTCTCATGTCACCACATGAGAGCTGAAGCTGACAAATGGGAGCTCACCCCAGTCAGCAGTTCTGCTGGCACAA